CTGGTTTCAAAAACCCAGTTGACCCAGTTGACTTTTTGGCTGGGAGCTGTCAATAAATTTCAAATTTATATACAAAGTTACTGCCAAAAAGTCAACTGGGTCACTGGGTTTTGGAAACCGGGTCAGGTTTGAGAGCCCCTATTGCTTGTCACTCTTCAAAATCATCCTTGATGGACGAATTTCAGGGTATATGCGCTGAGTGACCCACACATATGACTCGGCCCAAACTTAACTAAGTCCCTCAGCGGACCTAACCACCATCTCCCGCGAGGGACTTACGCGTTATCTCTTTTTTTTGGCCTGAGATGGGCCGGGGTGTTTTGCTAAAAACTGGCAAGCTCCCTGCTTGCCAAACTCCTCAATCAACTCATCTCAAGCTGATAATAAAAATTATGCGCAAGCTCTCCTTCTTTAATATGCCGCTCCCGGCTTTTTATTATCTCAAAAATGCTCAGAAAAACATGAAATTCCTCATTTGGGGCTCAACACGGGGCCAAAGGGTTACACGCGAACAATGCATGCTGCGCTTTCCAAAGTTTTTGCTCAAACAAAAAAAACTTAAGATAAAACAACTGTCGGAGCTTAGCAGAGCCTTAATGAAAATGCATTTTGCACTTCCATTCCCAACCGACAGAGAGCTGTCAGTATAGTACAACATTTCCTAATGAGACATTTGAGAATCACATACCTGTTTGGATTGCGCATATCTCGCCTCATAGTTTGGAGGGAGGGCCATTAGGAGAGCCAGGCCTCCGGCCTGGAACACAGTCGCCAGGGCTGGGAGGTGGAGCGTAGATCTCGAGGTCGTACATCTGATTGGAACATTATTGTTAGTATCAATGCAAAAGATAACAAAAGCGGGGGGGAGAGCACATGCCTCGCCATATATGAACGCTTTCCACTGGCTACTACCACGTCCAAAGCTGTAGATAACAGCTTTGATTACTTGGAGGAGTTTGAAAACGTATCCTTGATACATATCACCATCATGAAACCACTCGGTTCGAGCATGTTGGAACTGATCATTCCGAGGGTTGAGCAGCGATAACAGGAACTCGATGACCGACATTTTGTGCGTGTAGATGATGAAGTTGTATATGTCGAGGATTTTTTCCATAGGTGTGGCTTCTTTGTAAGTGAGCGTGATATCCCAGTTTGCCTCTTGATTTGCCATGAAGATAAAAATGGGAATCGAGAGGCCTTCAGCTTCCATGGCGCTCACAATTCTGAGAAACGCTTCCCGGTGGGCGTCGCGCGTAGGAGGTGGGTTGGGGGAATCCATGTCTAAAGGGAAAGATTTGTGTCACTGGAGGAGGTCTTTATGACTTTGGTGACCACGTTTAACTTGGCTCTGTTTATATATCATATGTGAGCTCCGCCTTTCGACGACGCTCTTTGAAACATGTTTTATTAGGGTGGACATCACCCAATTCACATCGCCCCCAGTCTGACATGGAAGCTATTTTAGGACTACCAGGGGCTTGGTTTGCATCTATGGATGTCGAGAAATCCACATGGGCTAATATAATAAGCCGAAACACGAGGAAATCAATCAAAGAGGAAAGGCACTGGGCACAGTCCAACCACCTATGTATCAATTGACTCTATGGATGCCCAGGATGGCCTAATAGACTGAAACACGAGGGAATCCGGAAACGAGGAAACACACTGGGAAGGGTTTTTCCAAAGATGAATCAATCATATTCATCCCGGCTGCATATCACCATTGTTTGTCAGCAGGTCACCAATACCCAAACGTACTCTAAAGTGATCGTAACATTATCCGGCGCGCCAGCATGACAATCTCATCAAACCCTGTTTCACCCCCAGGTAGTCAGGAAATCCCGGTGACGGTTCAAAACGCAATCTTGATATGCAAGTACATGACTAAGCTAGGTGTGACACCAAAACAATTCATGGTTACCTTCCTGTCATCAACGCAAGAAGAGCTCGCAGTTCGCCGACGTTTGAGCAAGATTGGGAAGGGAGGCAGAGAAACCCGTTCGATATTCAAGAATCTTGGACGATTGACTACAGCATCCCACCAGGGGCGGGATGAGTGGGATAAATTGATTTTGGACGAAGTTGCGTGTTGTTGGGTATTTTCGGACTATTCTGATGTGGTCCCGAGCTGACATTATAATCCTTCGCGTGTAGGCATCAGCTATAGTCAACCAACAGGAAATCACGCGAGGAGCCTTCCCCATGGGCGCTTTTGTCAGCTCAAATGCCATCACCCCCAACTTTTTCACTGAAAGCGCTGAAAAATATCAAAATGATCAAGTCCGAAGCGGTATGAAATTCCTACATACTCTCATATACCGCAAAACTGCCCACGCAATGAAAAAGAAAGAGGTTTTTCCGTACGAAGATGTCCCTTTGTCCCCTGAGGCCCAAATGCAGGACGGCGAGGCTCGTGTTGAAGGGGCGTTGGATGATGACACTGTCTTGTCTATGGAAAATCTGGTTCATATTAAGGCCACTCCTGCGAGCCAGGCTGAGCATAAGCTTTCAAAGGTAATAATGTGCAGCTCTATGAGCCAGAGTGGTCGGACTCACAAAGTCAGTTTGGTCTTTTAGGTGCCAACCGCGGTCTGTTCAATGATCGCAGTTGCTTGTAACCGTCGCAGCAATGTGTTACCCCTCGCCAACGGGCTCATGGGGTTTGCCGCTGGGGTTTCCTGTCGCGTTAACGAATGGCTGCACGCATTGGGGCTGACGTCCACAAGGACGTCAGTGCTACAGGCCTTGGAGCATCTGCGTGTTCTACAAGAAAACCGAATGATGGATCTCTTCAAAATAAATCATAAACTTATGCCTTTTTTAATATACGATAATGTTGATATTCAATTGAAGATTCACAATACCTGCGTGGATAAAACGACTCGGCTTTTCCACGGGACGTGGGGGTTCTTCAACGAATTTCGTCCGGAACTGTTGGCTAAGTGTTCGCCAGAGGAACTCGGCCTGCCGGCCTTTTTGGAATCGATGGCGGCTGCGCAACGAAAACCAGTTAAAGTATCGACCTTCTGCCCAGGTGCTCCCGAAATGAAGCATTGGCGCTTAGTACTCAAAGCCCAGGTGGCGAAGGCACTTATAGAGTATATAGACAACATACCTGGCCAGCCGAAGAATGTCCAGTTGCCCTCGCTGAGCATCACGCCACCCGCGATTGATCCCATTGAGATGCACAAGCCTAACTTACACTTCCTGCGTATGATGGATGCTCCAGATTCGTCCGCGGAGGGAGTTTCACGAGTCATAGACAAGGTCCTAGGTCAGATAGGTCTCGACAGCGAAACTTACGCCAACAAGCTATTGGTCGCTGGTGGAGATGTTGGTTCGAACCAACTAGTGGAGAGTCTGAGGGTTAAAAGATTCCCTCCCATTGATTCGGTTGAAGGATATGAGTGGGTGTTGTCCGTATTTGGAGGAGCTCATACCTCGTGGAATTTCACAAAGGCACTCTGGATTCATCATTGGGGTAATCCGTCTAAAGGAACGGACACCGGAGTATGGCGTTCGGCATTCGCATTAGGTTTGGAGTACAAGAAGCCCGCTGGGTCTCAAGACTTCAACACTATCATGAGGTCGTGTCAAATAGTACACAAAGCCAACCTGATTTTTATCATTGCGTCAGTCATTGCGTTCCTCTTCGAAAGACCCTGAAAAACGCTTACGTAGATATTTGCGCACGTAGGGCAACCATCAAATCGCTTGGTGATCTTGATATGAGCAAGGCTGATAATTTTGAAAAGGTTTTTGAAAAGTTGTGGGACAACTTCTTTTCAGCTTCCGCAATTGAAGATGCCCGAGTCAGTGGTGACTACACCGCGTACAACCTGCGCCTGCGCCTGCGCGACTTCGCCACAGTGGTCGAGGCCCAAGACGCCACCCGCGCTGGCGATATAGGTCGCCTGATGAATATGTGGAAGTCGTGGTCGATAATGGCACAAGGGCTACCCGGCCTTTCTCACTACAGCCGTCACATACCCCGTCTGGTAATGTTATTGGAAGAAGACTTACCCAAGTCTTTGGCACACATGATCAAACATTCTTTGCTGATTCCTTCTAATGAACGCGAGAATCACTGGTTACCTCTGGACGAGTGCATGGAAGTCAACATATGTTGGCTGAAAAATCATTATGATACTACAGTAAGTCCATTCTCATCAAGACTCAAGCTCATATTGGGATGAAGAAGCTCACAGATTGTTTGTGCTGTCATCTCAGGGACGTGGCACAGACCTTCACCGCCTAACACATAGGATTTCTAACCTGATAGGCATGGTAAGCTCAATATTTAATACATTGCAATGTTCTAAAGTTTGTTGACAACAATCTCCTCACGATTCACAGTTGCGTAGCTTAATGCAGTTAATCAAGTCAGAAGCCGGCCTTAAAATTGTATACCAGGCTAACATGCACCACATTACACCGGCCTCGTTGGAAATATTCTTGGCGTGCGCCACGGATACTTTCAAGGCCTTGAGTGCTGAAACCGAAACCGCTCACGGGAAGGGACAGGTAGAAAACATTTGGCGACTGGGTCTCCATAAGATGGTCAAGATTATCATTGCTGACGAAGGAGCGGGTCGATCTTCTTGATTTCGCTGGGGAGCGGCGGACGTGTTATTGTCTGCTGCAGAGGAGGATGGGCGAGATCCTCTCGAAGATTGAGTTCCTAAATAAATTACCAAGATGATCACAAGAGATGAGCGTGTATCAATACAAGCTTCATAGCAATGGAGAACTTCGCAAAGTACCTACCTGCCATATTTCCCTGCGCTTTGAGCACCCCGCTCCCGCCAATACTTCATTTGCGCGCTTGCCTAGCTGAAAGGCGTCACCTTGTCGAGTCAAGCCTGCGTGTGCATGATCCACGTCCGGTGTAAGGTGGAGGTAGGTGGCAAATTTCTTGCAAGACACTGCCATGTTTGATTTTTCGGGTCTAGTCGTTTGTGAATGTCGTAGCTTATGTTCCTGATCACGTCGCTTTTTTTCCGCCGCTTTCGCCGCTGCAAGGTCTGCTTTCTCCTTATCACGCCTTGCTTTTTCCACCGCTTTCGCAGCCAATTTGGCCTGTTGCTCCTGTTCACGCTCAAGTAACCATGTCTCCTTACTTGCATCCGCCCGAGCTTGGAGGAGTTGTGCTCCCTCACATGATTGGGGGACCTTCGGCGTGCCTTTCTTTTTGAGAGTCTTCGCGCGCCGTTGAGCCGCTTCGGCGAAGAGTCCAGCGCTTCGAGTGGCATTCTTCCATTGGCAGAAGGCCACAAAGAGGCAGTCGAATTGGCCAGGTATTGTCTCATTGGCCAGGATGATGGCAAAATCGTCCACCGTTTGAATTATATCGATATTTTTGGCAACGTCCCATGCCATTCCGCGTCCAAAAAAATCGCCTGGGGCCATGATTGAAGGGTCTGGAAATGTAAGATAGAACAAATTCGCGAAGGCTCGTTCCATTTGAGTGACGAGACTTTTGAGCATTGGGTTGTCCACAATTGCGTCGTTGTCACCACAAAAGATTGCCACTGGGCGTGACTCTGACGGAGGGGGAGGAGGAGGTGCCGGAAGCTCAGCGACCAGTTCGAGCAGGTTGCTCGCTTCCATCGCAAGGGCTTCGTCCAAGTTTTCATGAGTCAGGGCTGGCTGGGCAAGCCACAACGCCTCAGCCTCTTCAGGCTTGCAGTTGGAACAATCGCATGGAGCCATCTTCTTGGAGCGTTGCCGTTCAACCTCAGATATGACATTGGGGTGATCTGGGTCCAGAGGGATGTAACCCACGCTAAAGCACAACTATTAGCATCAAAGCGGTGGTTAGGGTGATCACTTCCAATTAAAACTCACAGCAGGTCGACAGCCAGAGCCACACGTAAGCACACAGATGTAATCGCCAGGGCGTCCATACGGTCATCGTCCGTCTGGATAGTCGGATGGCCAAAATCAGAAATGAGATCCTTGCCGTTAGTTCTCTTCGATTCCACCAGGAGGAGAGCCAAACCGCGACGCCCGTCTCGTCCACATCGACCACTCATTTGTATGAAACTGCATGGGTCCTGCCGCCCCACCACCACCACCCATCGTACTCGGTGCCAATTTTGGCCTAATCCCAGCGCTAAAGTACAGCATAAAACTGCGAGATTTCCGGCCACATACGTCGCCACCGCGTCAAGTTTGGTTTTCGGCCCAGTGTTGGCATGGTATCGTCGAGCGAAGCTGGAGTGGGCGTTTCCTGTTTCCGAGGGCTGCCCTCGAGAGGCATTGATTATCTGCAGGAAGTCCAATGTGGCGTTTTGAGTGCCAGAGTAGAGGAGAGTGGGTGGAATGTTGCAAGTTGGTATTGTCGTGTGATGAGCAAATAGACCCCTAAGAGATGCCTTCAACGGCCTCTTAAAAGACCTTCGTAGCAGTCGAAGTTCAGGCCGACAGAGCTCAGCGCGGGGGAAACGAACCTCCCGTGAGTCAAGTTTGAGATTGGCCAAAATGAGGTGGATAGCCTGGGGTGTGCACGTGGCTGTCATCAAAAGCAGGGGTACTTTGGTTGAAGACAGAAATCGTCGAGCAAGTTCACCGTATGACGGTCGAAAGACTCCGCCATCTTGTAATCGGACATGACTCGCCAATCGTTTTGCTTCGCCACTTTCAACCAGGCCCCATTCGTACACCATATGTGCTTCGTCCACAACATTCAGGATTAATCGATCCTGAAACCGTCAATCTTTCCACATACGGTCAAACACATCGCTCGTTAAGGCTATCTCGGGACTCTGGCGTGATTAATGAAGTCATCCACATTTGCCCATCAGCTTGGCATATTTTCCAGCCGGACCAAAGGGAAAACTAAGAAAACTGACGACATAAACAAAAGGGTATTTCCCTTTTAGGATATCATCACATGTTGCCTGCGTACAGTTGGCCGCGGTCAGATTTACCGCTCCAAGGTCAACCAACGCCTTCTCGCTGACCTGAAACGTTGAGGGAGAGTCAGTTTGCAGATCAAGAAATGGTATGTTCTGTACATATCAATTACCTGATCATTACCCAGCGAATCTAAGGGGTTGATACACAATACTATCGGGGCAAATTTTTCGTGGTCGTGAGCGCGGTAGAACACTTCGGGCACTCGACTTTTGCCAAAGCCTGTGCCCGCCAACAGGAAGACCGTCCGTCCATGAAGGAGGTCAACAGCGGACTCGTTCTGCTGAGGTTTCCCTCCGTAACCGTATGATGCCTTGAATATGTCATTAATCGCTTCTTTTTGGCTCGCCTCGCTTGTGTCCACAAATTCCGGGCGCCGTAGAGGTCGCAAGGTCGTTGACCTAGGTAGGTGTTGAGGCACGAAGTTGACTTCCTGATTTGATTTGCTACAAAGTAGCATTGTGCGTTTGGATAAAGTACGAGTGGTGAACTGAGTCTAGAGCGTAACAGATGAAGTACGAGTGGTGCACGGCGGGTGAGGGTATCAGGGTATTCGCTAACTTGTCCAAATTCATGCATGTAGTCAAACTGCTGTTTGACTTGGACGTTTTGACCCTTTTATCTCAAGAAATCCAGTTTTGTCTCCCAAAGGTGGATTTTGGTCGCCGCAGTCGTATCTAGTCGTGTACGGCCCCGTGTTGAGCCCCAAATGAGGAATTTCATGTTTTTCTGAGCATTTTTGAGATAATAAAAAGCCGGGAGCGGCATATTAAAGAAGGAGAGCTTGCGCATAATTTTTATTATCAGCTTGAGATGAGTTGATTGAGGAGTTTGGCGAGCAGGGAGCTTGCCAGTTTTTAGCAAAACACCCCGGCCCATCTCAGGCCAAAAAAAAGAGATAACGCGTAAGTCCCTCGCGGGAGATGGTGGTTAGGTCCGCTGAGGGACTTAGTTAAGTTTGGACTCGGCCCGGCCTCGAAGTGAGACTGTTGTTGTGCGGTACATGCGGATGGTGATATCTTCCGAATGCTCGAGTCAGGATGACTGTCGACTTTGAAGAAATGACATTGGGCGACCCAGAAGATCATCTCAAAGAACGATGGACCTCGATGAACTCGTTATACATACCAGCACTTCGTCAAGTTTCCTCTCTTCAAAATGAACCTACCAATCTTGGCATTCAATCGCTCTCGACCTCAAATACATAGTAGCCATGGACTAGTCGTTGGTAGCCTAGCTTCACTTCACCGGATAATTGATGACATGAATTGATGAGCAAAAGTGGAGTAGTGGAAGCGAAAAGGCAGAAGGCAGAGAACCCTGGCAAGCGCCTGGGCATCGTTCTTTTCAAATAAGAAGCCTCAATCAATCAACAGTCTTCATAACTTCTAGATATTCAGTCATTGACTGTCGTTCCGAGCCTCCGAGCCGGTTTTGCAGCTCGGGACTTTGGCGAGTTCAAGATTTCTCTTGAACTTTCTCCCTATTCCTCCGCCACATTCATGTTTCGTTTCGACCATAAAACGACACGATCGCAAAACTGAGCTAGCAATAATTCATGCAAGCGCTGAGGCCCTCGCGCGCCAAGAGCCTACGTGGTTTTACTTGAACTTTTGAGGATCTTTCAAGCTCCAAAGATAGAAGAAATGTTTTTATCTTGTACCCATTGAACGTTGGAAGATCGTGACTCAGTCAAAGACCATTTCTCATCATTGAGCAATTTTTGTTCCTTTGGGGTAAGATTCCCACATGAGTGCCCCGAGTGGCGAAGCATGTTATGTGACTCCATGCCCGATATAGCTCAATATCCAGCGGTGATCAAACCCAATTAATCCAAACATAGCATGTCAGATGCTCTGTCTCTTACACAGCCCACTTGTTTTGCTATAAAAGCACTCATTGGATAGTTATTTTGTCCCGTTTTCTGCATCCCAGGCTACATATCGACTTTGCAAGATCGCCTTCTGTCACCTTCTATTGAATAATTTGTTAGTTACTTCTTTCGCACCAATCCAATAAAATATATACGAAATGCTATATCTTGTCAAACGCATAGCCCTATTAGGAGCTTTATTACATTGCGCGACGTTCGGACAGGCTGATTATAAATGTTATCACCCATCGCCGACTGTGAAAGGAATTCAGAAGGATCACTGTGTAGCGTTAGTGTCTCTCTGCTTCTTGATTGATTTATACCTTGAGCTTTTCTTCATCCATAGCTGGTGTGACGATCTTTCTCATCACTGATTGCTCCTACATCCGACTTATAGAGCCATCAATAGCTTCCCAGTCACGGGTGATAAGTTGGTCCGAGATGACACCGTCTTTGAAGCTAAGTATGGTACTTGCGACGTGAGTGATATGATGTTCTAAGCCTGACTTCAACCAAAACCTATCACATACCTCTCCTGATCACTTACATATTCATCGTCACATAGGTCATTTTGGCAGTCACGGGTAATTCAAAAACTATTGTCACGTAAGTCAACTTCCACCAATCTGCCTAACTGCAAAGACACGTTTAAAGGAGCCATATCCTCATCTTCCGTTTTTTATCACCATGATCAGCACTAAATCGGGTGCTCTGAGTGCACTCGACCAGGCTTTTACCCTTTGCGGAGGCGTGAGTTTTTCCCAAAGATCATGATCTTCTGGCGGACTGAAACTCTGACATTCTTTCCTGGATTAGTACGGCACTGTTTTGATCACTAAGAAAACCGCAGATGAAAGTGGTGTCGAAATGTATACAGGAGTACCGACCAACTGAACGGGAGATCTGTATCACGAAATGGACAATGTCATAGACTACAATGGAATCTCTTCAAGTATTCCGGGTTTTACGCATACTTACATTGAGAGATAAATCACACGAATTGTAATGAAGCCAGTTGTGATGAACATCTGTTCTTGGGTGGCTGCGTGATGTTTTTGGTCAGTGTGTGCGGATGGGTACGGACTATTTCATAGATGCTGCCTGGATATATTTTGGATCAATTCAAGAGGACAGTGTTGATGTTTGAATTGAATGCCCGCAACTTTCAATGTCAGCATTTTTTGAACTACTTTTCCTACTCCAGACCATCAGGTCTATCTTAAAGCCCAGATAATCTTGCATTTTGAGATTCTTTGACACCTTTGGTACGCATACACGGGCTGGGCTTAGCTGCACGCATGCCGCGCCCTACCATGAGATCAAACACGTGAAATTTGGCATGTCTCTACTCCCATCTCCCTCAACATGAAACATTAGACAATGATATATAGAAGGATGTATGTTGCCCCTATCAATTAGATTGGTTTTCATAGAATCCAGCTACTGGATTTAGTGTTGGTAACACTGCAAATATAATGTATTTTTCCAAGGTGAAAAATGATTACATTTATTTCACAAAATGATTAAAAATGCATTAATTCTGCATTAATTCTGCATTTTTCTGCATTAATTCTGCATTATTAATCATTTTGTGCATTAATGTCAATCATTTTTCACCTTGGAAAAATACATTATTTTCACAGTGTAATGCAGTATGACTTAGTTTGAAAGAGCAGACAAAACATTCATTTATAACATTGTGAGCTGCACTCATACAAAGGAATTGAGAATAAGTCCTAAAAGTCAAAAATAAAACTCACAGTTTCAAGTCTGTCCACAAGCCATTGACAGTCAGGCATGACCAGTGAGAATGCTAGGTACATGTGGACTTCAATAGTCTTGGTCATGGCAGCAATAGGGGATAAGAACTGGACTAGGTCTTGAACCAAAGTCCATTTGTTGTGATCAAGTTTGAAGGATTCCAGTGCAGGATCACAGTAAACTTGATACTCTAAGACAGCCCTGAGGTGAAAAAATCATGCAAGTGAATTGTGTCTGGGGGACCAGTGTGTTGGAACTTCCTGAACTAAACCCAATTTTGAGTACAAAACTGCACAACTTTGAATGGTGATGTTGAGAGAGGTTTTGAGATGGCTGCTATGTTTGATTTTCTTGTGAAACCCACAGATTTTAATTCAAATACTGCCTATCTCAGAGTTTGAGGTAGGCTCAATAAATAAAGGAAGGGACAATTGATCCTGGATCAAGAACATTGATTGGTAGAGGAGGATTATTTTGATTGGATAACATCAGATTCATCATGTGAGCCACACATCCATGAAGAGTTTCTGAAGCATTGGATTGAGGGATCAAGGTTGACAGACTTTGGCCCAGGGTGGTTTGTTGGAGGCATTATCCGCAGTAATGCAATCAAGGTGCTTGGAAATATTGCTACATATTGAAACAGAAATCAATGAATTTTCAAAATTGATACAAAAATAGGGAGCCAAATATCTTGAAGAAAATTGTCAACTTTGGGCATACTATAGGATATACTCTTCAAGTGCAGAGCAGTAGAAAATTAGGTTTGAGTTTCATCATGAAAAGAAAAGTCATGAGCAAGATTTCCATTCCAATATGCCTGTCTTGTGAAGATGATTTCCTTGTATATCATCACACTCCAAAAGTTGTGAATTGATCCACAGCTGAGCAAGACTTCTTGAGATGCCTAGGCGGAGGTGGCACTTTGTTAAGTTAGGTTGCTCGCCATGGCACACCAAATATGAACACATTTTTGAAGCACCGTACAACGATAGATGGGGGGTATTAACTCCTTGCTTATGATTGTTTGATTCGATGGAAGGGCTCCGTGATGCTCATCTTGTGACTGCAGCGGTGGATGGCTGAGCCTGTGTATGTATGTATGCATATGCCGCAGTCATGTTCTATGTAACAGTAACCATCTGTGTGTTTCGACTCTCAAAACCCTTTGTGGGGATTTTTTGCTCTTGACCATTTATCATCTGCAATACTCGCAATCACCTTTTAGTCTCTACAAGCCGTCATTCAACTGACATTGCCGAAGGCTAATTGATAACATGCCACATGCTGACGGCATTCAAGCGAATATCATCTCCAATGGAACTCCTTTAGCTGAATATCCAAGCCCCACAACAGCTCCCAACACGGTCTTCTGTGAATCCACACCGGGTCAGACGTTCGAGGTCAAGCTGTCAGGACCAAAAGAACGTTGCGACTGTGTACAGTCAAACCTGTGCAATTGCATAATTTGGGTGGAAGACTTTTCCTATGCATTTTCACGGGTTATGCAATTCCATTGTCTAGTTTGGCGGTAAAAAGTATCAAGATCTAGGAATTTTTCTATGCATTGTCACAGGTTATGCATCTGCGCAGGTATGCATTTGCACAGGTTTGACTGTAGTGAAGCTTTATTGTGATGGAGTGTTCATGGACAGTTATGCATACGATCGTCATCTTCGTTCGTTCGAATCAACTTTTTACGGTATTTATCTGCCAAACGATAACACTAGATTGATGCCGTTCAAGTTCTCAAAGATCGAGCTTTCTGGTAAGCGTCGTTCCCGTCTATATAGTTTACACTTGAAATTTTGAACTGACGTGCCATCTATTTTGTTGGTCCTTTCATCGAATCTCTAAATGGCTCTATGCATGACTCTTTCAGAGGAGGATGATAGTCACCCCGAGCAAATTGTTAAAAACCTCGGTACCGTGTCTTTGGAATTTTTCCATTGTAGACTGGGTCCACAAAAACCAAGCGGAAAAAGTTTCGTTCCGTCAGTTGCATCAACTAGCAAGTTTTCTGAACGGAATAAAAAAGCTAGTATGATTCCACATACTATTGGGTTAGTCCTTCGTCCTCACCCTTATGATTTAAACTTGTATTTCTCGTTTTTCATTTCTCATTGGAATAAATCCATATCATAGCCTTGGAGAATCGACTATTGCCTCGAAAGCGCGATCTTCAACATCTTATGCGAATTGCCAAATCGAATCCACACCCTATCTGCGATTTGTATGGCAGTACAGATCTCGCAGTAAGCCTCAACAACTCACTTGCTTTTTTATTCTTTTATGTTCCTTCACTAGAGTCTACAAACTGATTGTCTATATCTATTTTCCATTCATCAGGCATGCTGATCACTGCGGGTCTCATTCCTCGACCTCCCAGCCCACTCCCAGATCTCCGACTATCAATGCCCCCTCGGCCTAGGCCTCAAAATCACGAATCCAGACCAGTTCAAGGACAAGCATCGTCACTCGGTACCAATGGCAATGACCAAGTGTCATGTGGACCTTCGACCAAAACTACTCAGGGGGAAATTAAGCCTGATGTCAAACCAAAGACAATCGTTAGCAAATCAGTGGTGATCGATTTGTGCGATGATGACGATAGACCAATGGTATCCTTTTCTAGTCTCGAAAACCCTATCATTCTCGATGATGACGATGATGAGCAGACAAATCAATCATCCAATCAAGTTACTCAAGCTAGTAGTAGTTCAGCTCGGAAAGTCGATGTTAAACCTGCCGAAATGAAGTTGGAGACTCGTGGTATTACAAATGAAAATAAGCCATCCAAACAAACGAAACGAGCTCCGGATGCATCAGATGTTGACGAACTTGATGAGAAGCGAGTGAAGGTGGAGATCTGACATTCTAAAAGATCTGACTTCTGTAAGTCTTACAACTCTGAATGAATCAATTGTGGTCTGAGACCAATGATTTTCTGATCTTGCACACATGCTCTCATCAGACTCTCATTTACTTAAGAATAACGATATCAAATTTTACAACGAACCTTAGGATAATTCAACACAACGTCCGATACATGTCCAAAAAATAAATCGCCTTAACCTGACTCGAAGCTCACCTTGAAGAACTGGAATTTCTATCATATCAGCCAACGAACTCTCGACTTGAGCTTTGAGGCAGATGTAATCATAGATAAACAATGTCTCGATTGCAACACCAATATATCTTATAATCAATTTCTTTTCTCTGATTCCAATCATTTTCACTCACAGAACCAAAATCTTGCATACTCAGAATGCAACAAAAATGGGCCTGATTGTATGTCCTCAATTGCAAATTTTGTATCTAAACATCCTGAAGGGTTCTTCAAGAGCTTTATACCTCTTCTTCTGTTTGTTATTTCCTTGACTTGTTTTTTTATTGGTTTAATTGTTTTGTAGTGTTTTTTTCACAAGTGTGTACATGTGATCATTACAACTTTACTTGTTCTTAGAGCATCCACTATGGGTGTGTTAACGATGTGATTTAGCGTTAGAATAACGCTAAAATCCAGACAGGGCTACTATGGACCTGTTTTAGACATGCGGTCCGTACGACTGCGTCAAATCTTGCACTCCCCTTGTTCAAATCTACGCAAGCCTACGACTTGATTTATCGTAGACTTTTGGCGCATCAAATTGGTCAACAGCCATCAAATGATCTATCTGTATCCATCCCACTCTGCACTCACCACCTTCAATCAAAATCTTCCCTCGTCCCTCAAAATCACAGCTTGTTGATGGTAGCTGTTTACTCTGAATTTGCTAAAAAAAACGCATTTTGTTTTAAAAAAAAAATCCGTGCGATTGATTTCACCAAGATTGAGCAAGATGTGAGAAAGCTCGATGCTCATTGTCAACACCTGAAGCCATCATTTTGGTTCTTTCTGGCTACCAAGGTAGTCATCAGCATAGAAGTGAGCTGGGTGAGGTGTGGTAAGATACTTCAATTCGAGTCTCGACTTTGCCATAGCGTGTATAGTGTTCTAAGAACAGATTATTAAGGGGTTTCAAGTTCAAGTTTTTCCGTATTTTTACGTTTTGAAAACTTGGACGAAGACGTAAATTTTACGTAAAATATTTTTAAAACGGGAGACCTTTTTACGTCTCCCGTTTTAAAATTAGCGTAAACGTACGCTTTTAAAAATCATTCGGTCAACGATTTGACCTTTTCAATCATGGTATTGACCACATCTTCAAACATGAGATTGGTCAAGAAGGCCATCTTGTCATTATCTTCAAAGGAAATGTCGCCAAACCTCGGAACAATACGTTCACCGCTTCGATTCGTTTTACAACGGTAATTATTCGATGTGCTTGATTTTTATAAACGGTCAAATTTAAAATCTTACAGTGTCGTATAAAACTTGACCAAATTTTTAAAAACTCGTATAAAAGATTTAAACTTGAAACCCCTTATTGTAGTTAAATCCTACGTTACATCATCCCATAGTGGATTTCATGCGGTTAACAACTTAGCTACAACACGCATGATTAAATTTTGCAATCAGGACCGCAAAATTTACGATAAAACACCCTCAACATAGTGGATGCTCTTAGCTTTATAAAATCGGAATATGAGTTTTAATTTGATCTATACACTAGATAAATATCATATACTTGCAAGATGAATCATGGCTCTGTACTACAAGGACTACTTTTTTGAAAAAAGCTCTTGCCTTTTGAAGCTTGCGACGTTTTCACGAATGCACAAAGACGCAGCATTCCAAGAACATCTTGTACAGCTTCAAGATTATTATCAGTCTAGCTGAACCTGCTCTGATAGATCCTCAGCATTGTTTCTGGGTGTATCCTTCCTTGAGATTTTTCCCCACGAGCATACCTCATTCCTTGTTGACTTCAGGCGTTGAGACGGCATGTCATTGTCCACCAGTGAAAGGTCATGTGCGGGGTGCTCTCAAGTATCTCAAACAAATGGCGCTGTTTTCTCCGGGGTTGTCAGTATCTATCATCTGTTCACCTTTGCATTTCACTTCGTCAGACATTGAAGAAGCAGGTCTGGCGTCAGAAGGGGTTTCAAGAATGTTGAAAAAGCGATGACTCGATTGATGGCTGCTTGAGCAGTGATCATGTACGCAGGTCTGACGATGTTTCCACTCACGGTCACGAGTTGCCCGACTCTAGAACTGGGAGTGCAGAAGGCGAAGATCATCTTATAAGCCACGTCGACGCGCCGGCGCGAGTGAGTGGAACGAACGCGTCCGATCTTGTGGCTGAACTCATGAATGGGTCCACAACTTAGCGCCGCTCGACAGGGAGTAAGAGAAATGGCGACAGATGAGCATGATCGGTTGCCATTTTGATTGGCACCAACCATGGAACTTTAAAATCAAATCCGCTTTGGGGCTGCGTGATTGCACCTATTAGGGACTGGGCGAGGTTTTGACCGACAGAGGATTTAGCCACCTCAATAAGCGCATGAATCCCCTGGAAGTCGACCGAAGCGATTTATGCAAACAGGAGGTGTCAGGATTACTCCTACAAGCCCAAGAGACCCGACTGTCAGATGATTTCACCAAAACCAGAGCAAGAGCAACCTGTGAAAGGTATATCAGGCTATCCAGAAGCGTTCTGCCATAGGCTTTTGGCTGAGGTGGGGGGGAAATTTTGAATAGACAGCTTGTCTTAGGGAGGGTCATGCCTGTGCGCCACCCTATTTTTTTTAGTGCCATAAAGCTTACTAAAAAAAATAAGGAAATTTCATATTGATTGAACAGTGGCTTAGCTGTTTGCAACTCGCTTTCAATTACGGTTGAATTGCAATTTTGCAGAGCTTCGCCCAGTCCCTATTGCGTCCTGCTGCAGCGCTGAAATTCCCAGACTCATGCTGAGCTGGATAGCTGCGCCGCGGTTGCGTAACCACTGTGTGCTGTATGTAAAAAGCCGCAGTGCATATATTCTGAAATGGACCCT